ATAGGACTTGTAGCTGAATTTTCCCACAATGATGTGATGAGACATAATGTTTGCATCGAATTTGAAATTGCTTTATTTTCCCAAAAAGGTGTTTTCATTCAGGCAAGGGCAGACTGCAGTTTCCACCACGTCTAGATCTTATTAACACCCTCAGCCGGACGCGAACTTTGACAGTGTGAGTTATAATCTCGACACCTGAACCAATACGTCATCTTGCCTCGAGCGCTTTTGTGTAACAGGGCAGGTGTGAATATCAAGGAAAGCCAGGCATTTTCCTATATCATGTTCTATGGTGGGATTGTCGATGAAGCTTACTTATATTTTCCATAGCAATCGACGACATTACTTGTCTTTCAGTTTTATTATGTTTTCGAGACTGGTTCGAGTCCCGTTGATGGTGTTGATAAGACCTAGGCGAGGTCGAAAAGCAGTCGACTCTGGATGAAAGGTCATATGAAATTTAGTGGAAACTTATGGCGGCAAAATTTAACTACTACTCCTTAATCACCTTAAACGAAATAGTGCAAACACATCTCGTATAACTCACGATACTACCTTTATTTTTTGTCAGTAGTTTGTGCATGGATGAAATTATCTAAAAAATAATCTAACTTCTCAACAAACCTCTAATTCACTTATCACTTAGTGACTCGGCGCCACGGTGAAACGTGAAACAATGGCTTATTTTACAAGTGTCATTTTTTCGAATATTTGTATCATTGCAAGAAGAGTCAGGAGCTGACTAATTTCTGGCAATTTTTATTTTGGAATGATTGCAGGGACATTAGATTTGAGATAAATGTACTCAAACAACATATATATATATATATGTGTGTGTGTGTGTGTGTATGCACAGGAGGATGTATATGATCGCTGAAATAATGAAGGAACGATCGTGAAAGGAGTATTGCAAGACAAGGCAAGAGCAAACGACCCCACACACATACAGGAATGCACACGTGGCTGGCTTGACCTTAGCCCAAGTGATGTAGTCAGCATCGAGGGGAAACCGTTTAACCGGCTCCTCCGCCTCCCGGCGATAGGCGAGTGGATACCTCTTTCGGACAAAACGTCTGAATGGCCAAGAGTGTTCGACCAGTTCAGGCAGTTGCTCTGAGGTCTGATATCAACCGGTCATACAGGCCCGCATCTACACCCGTCGCGGTGGTAGCAGTACCCGAACGTGGGCAGAAATCGATTTGTCTAACAGGATAGATGAGCCTAAATCTATGACCGAAAAAGTGGACACAGGCTCGTGCATCTGCCTGTGGGCTCGTCCCTCCGTCATTCAGTCTATCTGGGCGTCTGAAAACAACTGGAATGCATGTGATTCTCGGAACCGCCTCCCAGAAGCCTGTGTCTATGTGCGTGTGTGGCTGTCTGCTTCCGTGTTAAGACGAGCAATTGCTCCAAGACGGTGGAGGCGAATTGGAGACGAGTTGGCTTCGGCCTGAATCGGCTTTTAGCTTCCTGTGGAGAAGATAATCTGACGAGTGTGGAGAGAAGAGGCAAATGGGAGGCAAGGCGAATGAGACTGGCGCAAGAGAATGCCACTGCGCCAGTCGCAACCACTTCTTCCTGGCAGGCCGTGCAAACACACACCTATTTGTATATTTTCAAGACTGTCGCTATTTCAGAATGCATACACCCGTATGTGTGTGTGTGTGTG